AAAAAAGAAATTCTTCTATTATCTTGTTGAAATGTTTTCTGTGCTTTTGACCTGGGTTTCTTCCTTCCTCTCTTCCTATTATTCATAGATTTGGTCTTTTCATAGTGTCCCAGATTTTCTGGATATTTTTGTACTTTGAATTTTTTAGTTTTTACTTTTTCTTTGACTGAAGTACCCATTTTTTCTACCTTGTCTTCAATGCCTGAGATTCTCTCTTCCATGTCTTATATATCTCTGGTGATGCTTACTTTGAGGTTTTGTTTGACTTTCTAAATTTTTCCCTCCAGTTTTAATTCTGTTTGGGTTTTCTTTAGTGATTCTATTTTTGTTGTTGTTGTTGCTTAATTCTATTTTCATGTCATGGATTATTTTCATTCTACTGTGTGTATTTTTTTCAGAATTCATTAAGGGAGTTATTCCTATCCTCTTTAAGGTCTTAAACATACTCATAATTGCTATGTTGAAGTCCTTGTCTTGTGCTTCAGCTATATTGCATTTCTCTGGGTGCACTGCAGTAGGGTTGTTGGGTTCTGGTGGAGACATATTGTCTTGGCTGTTAATGTCTGTGTTTTTGCTCTGTTGTCTAGGTGTCTGGAGTTCTGGTGACTGAGGTGACTCTAGGTGTTGATGTCTGGTCTTGTATTTGTTGGGTGGGTATTCCACTCTTTGGTTTTCATTGCTCTCTCTGGATTTGAGGAAAGGGTGTTGCCTAGAAGAGAGGATGGAGAGCATCCACAGGAAGGCTGTGGGGTCCCTGGCTGAGAGTGCTTCTGCAAGCTAGTGGGTGGCAGAGAAGAATAGAAATGGCTAGCAAAAAAGGCTAAGGGCCTTTGGAAAGAGTTAAGGGGATCCTGTCCACATCAAGAGGAGAGGTCCCCAGAGAGTTGGAGCTGTGGAGGGAGGAGGGGCTCCATCAAGCAGGTTGAGGTAAGGCAAAAAAAATAGATCTGGAGAGACGAGAATGAAAGGGCCAGGGAGACGTTGGGTCTATGCAAAGAGTTGGAGTCTCCAGTATAGGGAGTTGAGATAGGAGGAGAGACACCTGCAAGCAGGTTGTTGCAAGGCTACCAGTGAGAATGTAGATATTGTAATGGAGGACAAGAAAGACAGTGTGATTCACCTACCTGAGTCCCTGAGTCCTCCCCCGCCCAGGGAGGGGGCTAGAGAGTGACACAAAGAAATAGCTATGGGAAATGATCTAGAAGAGAGGACTGAGAGTATCCACAGGAAGGCTGTAAGACTTAAAACATTCATCACTATCCAACTTGTTATACATGGTCACATGCTAAATTCAGAACATTAGTTACCTTTGAAAAGAAAAATTAGTAATAGAATTAATAAGAAGTGAACAGAGGGTGGGTTAAAGAGATGAATTATTTCACTGATTCCTAAAAAGAATCCATTGTGTAGAAAACAAATGTAGCATTAAACAGCGTGCACCCAGATGTCTGTAATGTTATCTTCTGTAATGTAACTGACCGGAGTTTGTGTTACCATATCCACAAGAACTACTAGCTTGGTTCTGGAACTCTGACTAGGGGCAGTGAGGGAATGAAGAAGACAGACACTCAGACAGGGAAGCTAGATCAGGTTGAAGAGTATGTGCTTTGATGGAATTGAACCCACTACCATTATGATCCTGAACCCTTGTGTTTATTATGAACAGCACGAGGGAGGTATTAGCTAGTTGTGGTATGAGGTATCTGTAGGCAAGCAGGGTCTCATTGGGAACATCTGTGAGGAGGAGGAAGCTGTAGTTGCTGTTTTTTTACACATTGATTAATGGTTCAAAAGCACTTGTCTTGGACCAGAGGAAGAAAAGAAGCCTTGTTTTTCTGAGCCTGGCCCAAGGCCATGGAGTTCTCAACATGGCTGTGTCCACATCAATACAGATTCACTTAGGACTTCATTCTCTCAGGACTGCCTCCTTCCTCTCCCTGCCAAAAAAAAAAATGTGTGTGTGTGTGTGTGTGTGTGTGTGTGTGTGTGTGTGTGTGTGTGATATGCATGTGTGTCCATGTGCAAGCACCCGTGTGTGCGTGGAGAAACCCAAGGGGACATCAGTGGTCCTGGTGCAGCATTTTTTAAATTGCACCTTAAAATCAATTGACGCATTGTGACTGCACAGTTTGAGCCTTGGTTTTTCATCTGCACAACCCTTTGCAGATGGGCCTGTTGACATAGGAAGCTGGACGCACAAAGACAGTAAGTTCAAGGCCTGCCAGGCCACAGAGCTAGTTCCAGGTCACCTTGGGCAACTTAGTGAGAAACCATCTCACAGGAAAAATCTGAAAGGGGCTGGAGGTGTAGCTCCATGAAAGAATGCTTGGCAAGCATGTGTGCAGGCCCGGGTTCGATCCCCAGGAGCAGCAGAAATAAAGATGCATGTTCGATAGAAAGCAGTATAAAGGAGAAGTGATGGGACCCATGTGTCCAATGCCACCAATTCTCCTGATTCTACACACAAGCTCAATCACTTGTAACACCCTTTAATTAGCCACTAAAATAGTCATTTTCAAGTTCAAAGCGTGTTAAACCAACCAGAGCCTGTGTCTGCGGCACTGACTGACAGCGGCCCTTTGGAGGTCGCACCCAGATCTCTGCAGCTAACACTCCTCCTGCATGCCTTTGTAATTTGAAAACGAGTTTGAGTTTTGTGAGCACTACTCATCCATTTGGGATGTGTGATTCTTCAGTGGTGTAAGGGAGGAGGCCCTGAGATCACTAGCTGGTAGTATTCCAGTATGTCCACAAACAGGAGCTCCAGTGCAGCCTTCATTTGTAAACTTGTAAAAAAAAAAAAAAAAAGGCTGCTTGCCAGTGTGACTTATTCGTGAGTAGAAAAATCACACTGCACTTAAGCATTTGGAAAAGATTATTTGTTTTCCTGTCACACTCTTCGGAATCTCTTTTTTTGTGGTCCTCAAAAATATTCGTCATCCATTCAATGAAGGGTTTTGTTTTTGTTTTTAGTGTGCCAGGTACTGAATCATTGTAAGCCAGTACAGGCTAGCTGAACTTCCTAGAAAAAAAAACCAATGAAGGCCTAGGGTGTGGCTCATTTGGTATAGCACTAGCCTAGCATTCATAAAATCCTGAGTCAGATACCCAGGATGTTGGTGCACACCTGTAGTCCTCACACTCAGGAGATAGACACAGATCAGAGGGGGTCAGAAGTTTATGGGCAGCCTGGGCTACTTGAGTCCCTGTCCAAACCAAAAAGAAAAAAAAAATTAAAGATCAATTAAGTTTTAGAACTTAATGGTACATCCCCTTTATCTTTGAATACAGAGTGAGTTCAAGGCCGGCCTGAGCTGTGAGAGAGCCTGTCTAAAAGAGGGAACGAAATGGCAAGTGTCGAGTTGGACCCAAAGGCTATGGCAGCAGAGCATGACGAGATGTAATTAGCCAGGGAGTGGAAGGAACCAAATTCCTGAACCAATCACTCTTCGAGAACAATTTAGGACTGCCCTAAAGATTCGGATCTGCCTTCTAATGAAAGGGACATGAAAGAGATTAACCTTTCTGCTCCGTAACTGCAGGCCACTCAGTATCACTTGCCGTGTATCTCTCCCATGGAGCAGAGATAATGAAAACCCTCACCAAGGGTTTGTATTTTTTTTTAAAGAAGATTGATTAAATTAAGAACCCATTAAATAATCTTTTACTGCCCCTAGGGTTTCCTAGAGAATCTACAGAAAGTGAAAATCACGGAGAATGTTCTTTTGGTTCTACAGGAACTTAAACAGGGAGAGGTAGAGAGGAAGTGGACAACCCTTTTTCAAAACATGGCATCCCGGCAACCTCGAGTATGAGCAAAATTTCTAACGTGATAATGATCCATGTTTTCTGTAGCTTTTGAATAAAACGTTTTAGAAAATGTTCGTTTCTGCTCTGCTCATTTACTGAAAAAACATCATTTTATATTTTGAGACTTTGAAAAATTAAAGGTTTTTTTTTTAATAGTTGAATTTCAAAGAGCTAAGGATTCAATTATACTAAATAGCCCCTATGTTTAGATTCAGCAATATCTGCCAGCTACTTTGGGTTAGCCAAGAATGATTCTGTTTTCCTTCCTAGTCCTGCTTTTCTCACAGTTACTAACACACAAATGAGGTTAATAGCCTTGTCCTGCTGAAGTCGCACACTCGCGGGGTTCCTTGTCAGGGGCCACCGCACATTGTGTCATTAGTCAGCTCTGTAGACGCCCACCTCCTGGCCCTTTGGCCTCATCAGCCAGTTTCAGAAGCCTTCCGGAACCTATCTGATAGAAATGGGGTCCCGACAGCACATTCTCTAGGCAGTTCCCCTCCAAGTTGTCTCTGCCTTTTCTCTTTTGTGGGCTGAGGTGTGAGCACAGGGGGATAAAATGGATATAGTCTGATCAGTTTTTAACTTTGACATTCCCCCAAAACCCATGCAGATGGTCTCTTCAATTGGAATCATTCCTGAGAATGGAATTCAGTCCCTAGTCCTGCCTAAAGTCACTGTGAGAAGCTTGGCAAGGAGAGATGAGAAATGGTTCTCTTCCTCTGGGTAATTCATCTCCCACGTGCGCTGTATCTAGACCCACTTAGGCAGGCATGGTGGTTGTGTCAGTCCTTTGACTTGGGAGATCAATCAAGGGATCTCCCGTTTCTCTGCAAGGAAACAAATGATTTCTTTTTTTTTTTTTTTTTTTTTTTTTTTTGGGTTTTTCGAGACAGGGTTTCTCTGTGTAGCTTTGCGCCTTTCATGGGACTCACTTGGTAGCCCAGGCTGGCCTCGAACTCACAGAGATCCGCCTGGCTCTGCCTCCCGAGTGTTGGGATTAAAGGCGTGCGCCACCACCGCCCGGCCAACAAATGATTTCTTAATGCTGGCCAACACCGCCATGATCCAGTGCTGAGAGCTCACACCTTGCAAAGCAAAATTCTGGTAAAACCCAGAAAGCGTGTTTCCCAGTGACCAAGTAAGCAAGGACTCTTTATTCCTTTCTTTTTTTTTTTTCTCCATTTATTTGCATATGGACACTCACATTTTTGTTTGGGGGCATGTCAAGCAGCAGATTAAAAGGCAATTTTCACACAAAAGCTGCAGAGAAACATGATGTTATTCCCTGGCAGCCATTTGATGGTTCTTCGCGGTGGAAGCAGCCACACACACACACACAGCTCCACCTTCCCTCACGGAGCCCTGCTCACTGTTCTTATCTGGAACTGGGACGATGCACCGCTCTCTCTTTTCTCTTTCTTGGGGGTTTGTGCCGTTTCTTGATGTTTGTGACAGGCCACGATAGGGGAAGCTTTTATCACCATGGGGCTTGGAGGCCTCCGTAAATTGAAAATTGCAAATGAAATCCACTGGGCTTGAATTCATCAGCTATTATGTCAGATGACCTTTGCCAGCTGCTGATAAAAATGAGAGAATGTTAGCTCTGATCCAATTTTCAGCACTAACCATTCCTTTTCAAATCCATTCACAGTCAGGCAGCAGACACACGGCACGTGCAAATGATAGGGTTTCCAGAGACGCCATTGTGTTGCAGATTAAGAGTTTTCTGCCCCTATTTCGAGAGGTCGGCCCCCAGGCCCCTGTCTGTATCTACCTATTGTCCAATCAGTTTCAATATCTGCTTCAGAGGACATGTTAGCCATCCTTACAGATAAGTGCTTACAGGAGAGAATGTTGGACTTAATAGTTTTGCTTGGGAAGCACCAAGGGTCACAGTGTAGCAATATTGACTGGCACATGTTAGTTTAATCTGACATTCGGAAGAATGGAACACGAAATTCTTTCAGAGTTGCTGATCTCTAGCTGATGTTTTGTTACCAGCTCCGGTTTTATAAAATTTATTTTTGCACAATGATTTGTATTCATGAGCCAGAGATATTTTAAATGCCTATCATAGTCAAGGAAAGACGGTCTAACCTTATCTAACAGTGTGGGGAGCCAAAATCATGAAAATAGGGGGAAATGACCTGAGTGTATTCTGTTCTTACAATCCAGTTAAAGATATTTGCTATCAGGAGTATTTTAGGAGCTAAAGTAAGTACTTGTCCCAATAAAAAGAGAAAAGGAATCAGGCTTGTGAGGTTGGTGGGATTGCATGAAGCAGAGAAAAACCAGGTGGTCAAACCATACCCAGGGAGCACAGCCCTCTGGAAATAAGACCACCAAAATTAATTGTTTCTGCCTTCATCTGGGTGTATTCACAAGAAAAACCCTCTCCTGTGAAGATGCAAACATTCACTTCAGGATGATCCCAAACAAAAGCCAAGACAAGAAGCACTGAGCAGCCGAACACTGTCTCCTGAGAAATATTCTCAACAAAATGTAATAAACTGAGAAGTATAACATCTATACTTCTGTTCCCTGGTGTGCAGAGTTTTGATTTGTTTCCCTTTTCTGCCATTTTACTGGTAAGCATTGCATAGAATTAGCTATTTGTGTGTTTGTATCCATAGTGGCTGGTGCCTTTGAACTGGGAGCTGTGCCATTATGGAACTGCCAAAATTCTCAGAGATCCAGTTCTTACCCACCTCTAGGTGGGAAGAATCCAACTCGCCAAGCTCTCTTCAACCAAAAACAAAATGTGAGGGGTGTGTGTGTGTGTGTGTGTGTGTGTGTGTGTGTGTGTGTGTGTGTATGGCAGTAACTTAAGGCTAGTGTTTCCCTACATTTTCCTGGCTCTTAGAAGACAGTGACCTGTGCTCTTGGGGTATGTGAGAATGCCTAACAATGGAGTTCAAATAATCCCAGAAGCACAGAGTCAATCCTCATGGAATAATGTTTTAACAGACTTATAGTTAATTGTAAACAATGGTTGGGTCCAAGATTATCAGAAGTACCACTGACATCACCCCCTTCCCAACTGAAAAGTAGACTCCATCTATCCCAAACTGGTTTTGATTTCCCAGAAGAGGCAATTCTGGGTCTTCTTAAGCCAGGGGTGCCCATTCTAGATTCCTATCCATGTAGGAAACCCTGATGCACAGCTTCCTAAATGTACACACCTGCCCATTTGTAGCCCCAGGTCAGTGAAAACACTACTGCACCCCTAACTGGATGAGCCAAACCTCTCTTGTGATAGCGTAGACATTGGCTTTTACCAACACAGGTAAGTCTGTGCCTCAGTTTACCAACTGCACAGCTGTCTGTGGCCATCTATATTTATGTAATCAGACTTGTTGCTGGGACACAGATTCCTCAAATTCCCAACTTCTCTTGAAACTTTGTAATGGCTGCCACAATTTCCAAAGGCAAAAACATCAGTGATTTCATCATGAGCATGCTCTTTGGGTCTTCAGCTATCAGGGACCCAAGTAACTCATCTTGTGCTCCATCTGCTAACAGGTCCCTATGAGAAGAAACAGCAGAACTCATTGTTGGCTGTGCCCCAGGGCCTGGCTTTCCACCACCTCGATCTGCAAGCTCAGACAGATGAGACAATTAGACTGACCTGTTAAGTGTCATGTCTTCATTGTCGATCGTGGTATGAACTCAGAGTGGCAACCGAGCCACACCTGCCTGTGAGACCATTGTGCCACCCATCCTGATGTAGGCATGAATTCCCAGTTTGGATTTGAGGAGGAAGCACATGAATGTATTATTATTTCTGGAATTTTGTCTGGGGCTCAGACAGCTCTGAGCCATTCTACTTCTCCTGACTCACCTCCACATCCCTTCATCCTGACTTCTCCACGTCCCCTCCGCTGCAGAGCCCTCTATTACAAAGCATTATAGAATTTGCTGTTAGCGTGGAGTGATCTATTTTGTCCTAGCCACTAAGGAACTGAACTTTTTATTCCATTTTAACTAATTTAAACTTAAATAACTGGTGGTTACCTACTGGGTGGGGCAGCAGCTAAACTTCTCTTCTTGCAATATTGTCAACACCTTACCTACCATGAAAGACGCCATTTTAAGTGCTGCCTTCGTGTGTGTGTGTGTGTGTGTGTGTGTGTGTGTGTGTGTGTGTGTGTGTGTCTTGTGCTTAGGTGCGTAAACAAATAATAATGTGCACATACGTGGCAGTCAAAGGACAATCTTGACTCGGTCCTCAGGTTGGACCGGGGTTAGGAGTGGGGTGTCTCTGGCTGGCCTGGAACTTTGCCAAGTCGACCACACTTGTCAGCCATCATGCTTCCAGGAATCACCTAACCTGGCTCTGTTTCTCATGGCAACCACTGAGACTTCCAGAGTTCTGGGGATTTGAACTCCGGTCCTCATGCTTGTGAGGCAAGTGCTGTACTCACTGAGCTGTCTCCCTAGCCTCTGTTCCGCGGTGCCTTTTCTGAGTATCAGGATACCTTTAATCATACGCAGCCTTGTATATGTGTCTCCTCTGCTGTTCTACAGACTGCTTCAGGGTGGGGCCTGGGCCGACCCTGTGATGCATTGTGTCTAAACATTTGAGGAGTTGAACTGAGTAGCAGACCTTTTAGGAAAGATGTCTGTGGTAGTTGTTCTGTTACGCATGATGACTTGAGGACCTCTGATGTTGAGGACGCTGCTCTCTGCACACCTCTCAAAAATGAATTTAGACATCTGTCTGCTGGCCTGCTAGGAAACTGAAGATGAAATGTAAGAAGGTAACTATGTCTTTGCCTTCTGAAAGTGGAAAGTTGGGGACAGGTGTTTCTCATCTGCCTAGACAATGAAGGAGGAACTCGGTCAGTACTTCCTTAACAAACAAGTCAAGTAAACGGAGAAGTAAGCCGTGGTGGCACGCGCCTATAATCCCGGCACTCTGGAGGTACAGGCAGGACAGAAACACAAGGCCATCCTCATTGAAAAAGTGGGTTTGAGGCCAGTATGGGATATGTGAGACCCTCTCTCTGTTTCTCTGTCTGTCTCTGTCTCTCTGTCTGTCTGTTTCTCTCTGTCTCTATCTCTGTCTCTGTCTCTGTCTCTGTCTCTCTCTCTCACACACACACACACACAGAGGGAGATAGAATCCTACTTTCAGAGCATGTGTTCCTAGTGACTCTCTGTCTCTCTGTCTCTGTCACACACACACACACACACACACACACACAGAACCCTACTTTCAGAGCATGTGTTCCTAGTGA